TAATTAGATTTACTCCGGCTATTTAATCCGAAATAAACAAAAGCATCGTTCTTAACAATACTAGCATAAGTATTAATAGCTTTTAATAAGTTTAATCTTTTTAAACCTTTTTCTTTCGTTCGTTAATTGTTTTAAAACTGCTTTAAAAGCAATATAATAATCGACGAGCTAAGCGAGTACATCAGCTCAGCTTTAAAACGAAGATTTATTTTACGACTTAAGTATTAGAAACAATTCTTTTGTAGCTGTTGAACTTTCTTTTGCTTTTATTAGCAATCGCATTAAAAAAGCTTTCGCGCAAAAAGCTTTTAAAGAGTCTCTCATTGTTTCGGGCTTAATTATAGCTATAAAAACCGCGACGAAGACGATGTTTTATAATAATATAAATAAAGAAAAGCAAAGCGATGATAAAGAAAACTTAAGTGAAAATAATATTCTTTTCTTTTAATATAAAAGAGCTAAAAAATCACTTTCGACGGCTAGAGCTGCTCGCTCCGTTTTATTAGCTAGCAAATCACTTTCGGCAGCTAAAACTTCTTTTCGTTAAAAATCTAAAAAAAGTAAGTATTTTAAGAAGTCTGCAGTTATTGCGAAAAAAAAAGGTTTAAGCTAACGAAAGCGCCGTCGTTATAAGCTAAGAAGTAAGTTTAATCAATTAATAAATTAATTCTTAAGTACAATTACTAATTTATATAGCTATTGCGTTAAAAGAGATCCGACGATATTAAAAAAGCACCGAGCTTTTTATTAAAAAGACTTCTTTTTAGCGTTTTGTTCGAGAGATCACTTACGATTTTAAACAAGACTTTAAATTTTAAAGCGGTGCTTTAAAATGTTTATAAAAAGCTTTAAAAGCATTCTTCGTAAAAGAGTTTGAAAGTAAGTACTTATATATTTATTTACTAATCGATTTACTAATCGATTTACTAATCGATTTACTAATCGATTTACTAATCACTTTTAGTAACGAACTTATGTGCTATTTACGCTAAACGAGTAACGATTTAAAATAAAGATATAACGTTAGTTAAGAAATTGCGGGAAATCATAATTAAAAGTTTTGTTTAATAATTTTAGTTTATTATAATATAATGCAATATAATTGTAAAGTATAACATATGTGATTAATAAATATAATAAATAAATATAATGATTAAGTAAAATTAATAAATATTCGTAAATTTGTTTTATTTTTAACGGCCTTATATATATTATTTTTAGCTGTCTTACTTTAAACCTATAAGGTTTCCTTATCTTTCGTAAGGAATTTGACTTAAAAAAATCCTTTTTATAAGGTTTAAAAAAAAAAGTCCTCTATCGGCCAAGACCTTATAGGGGGAATGGGAAGGAAAACCCTATGGGGCCCCCACTCCATGGAGCAGCCTAATAGCGTGCTCGATAGCTTACACTATTTAAAAGCTTTTATTTAAAGTTAAAGATTCGCTCGATACGAGCGCGACTTTAAAAAGCTAAAAAAGAAGCTTTAAAAGTATTAAACTTAGTTAGAGTGCGAAAGTTAATTAGCTTATAAAAAGAAAGTAGTTTATCGTCGTCGGCGAAAAAGCGGCGAAAGTTAGCGGTTTTATAAGTAAAAAGAGTAGTTTAAAAGACCGAAAGCTTGTATAGCTCTTTGCTTTTAAAGTTATTTTCGAAGGACACTTAAAAAGGCTTTAATAAGCGTTCCGTAGTTAGCAAGACCACTTAAAGCTAATCCAGTTCTTTTCGAGCTCGACGAGCCTTTTTTTTAGCTTTATTAGCGAAAGCTTTTTGTTCGCTAGCGCTTTTATCGAGCTCTTCGTTACGGGTTTTTATATTTGCGAAAAGCTTTTTAAGCTTAGCGGCTTTTCGTTAAGACTAGAAGAAAGCTTAATATTAAACCAAGGCTTTTTCGAAGTTAATAAAAGCCGAAGGATCATCTTTATCGTTTTGCTTACTAATAGCTTCTTTTTAAGTAAAAAAGACTATTAGTTAGGCCGTAAAAAAAGAAGAAGCTGTTAAAGCAGCTTTAAAAAGAGTGCGAAGGATTTTGCCCGCGAGGCGAAAGTTGCTGTGTTATATAAGTGCTATCTTTTAAGTTATACTTAAAATAAGCTTTCTCGTAACCGTTAGAATCGTCTAAGTGTTTTGACGTCCAATTACTGTAGTGCTTACTAGTACTAAGATCAAAAGGAGATTCTGTGGATTGAATGAAGCTTGGTATCTTCTATTTAAGAAGCTCGTTAAGATCTATATATATATACCTAGGAGCTTTAATGTGCTAAAAGCGCTATTAAGCGAGGTCATATGATATGTCATATGTAGCTTAAGTAGAACTATGCTTGTTCTGCACAACACACTTCTTAAGTCAGCAGCGTAGCTGCTAAGCTGCAAGCAAACAAAAAAGAAAAAAAATAAGTGATTAAGCTTTTTAAACTCGATATAAACAAAAGAGATTGTTATCGCAGTTTAAATAAACAAATAGCGGTTGTTATTATTGATTAAGTATTAATTAAGAATGCAATTCCTTTTTAAGTCGGTCTTATTATATAGCAGAAGTCTTTAGCGCCGTCTTTATCGCGTTGCTATATAAGTAAGAGCGCGTTCCTTTTTATTATAATAAACACTTAACTTTTATCTATCTATATAATACCTTTTAAGCAAGTAATTTAGTTTAATAGAATCGTTAAGCGCGGCCGAAGCCGTCTAAAAGTAAGTGCTTTTAATAGATTAATATTTCTATATTGATTATTAAGAGAATCTCTTTTCCGCCTTAGCTATCGCTGCTATTGTAGTTGCGGCGGCGGCGGCGGTTATACTTCGCATTCTTACTTTCGAACCTTCGCTCTTTCTTTTAAACTCTTTTATTAAGCGCTTGCTTATGCCGACGATCGTCAAGGCTTTAAAGTGCATCAAGTGCATTAATAATAAGATCATATCGAAGTCTAATAAAGACTGTTATAATTGCGATACGAGCGTTATACGCTATCTCCGGTATACTAAAAGTAGTTATAGCAATTGCATTGCTGCTTCTACCGCTGCTAATACCGCTTTCGATAACTTCGTAAGCGCTAAAGATAATAATACTATATAAAGAGTTCGCCGAAGTCTTCGAAATATTATGCGATAACAGTTCGCTTTGAATGCTGCCCTTTTAAAAGGTGCTGCTAGTAGTCCGGGCGGTCTAGCGAATAGAAGTAAAGGTTTTAGAAGTAGTTTCGGTAGCCTTGCAGGTTTTGCTTTTGCTCTTAAGACTTTTAATTTAAATGTAGCTTTTGTTAGATTAAATAGTCTTATAGCAGCGAACCGTGGTCCGGTGACGCGGAGCGCTTCGAGCATATCACTCTTTCGTAAGTCAAGCTTTTTAACTTACGAAATGATTTAATTTAAGCAGCTCTTTTTAATTAGAATTTCTTTTCGGACTTTATGTAAAAGCTTTAATCTGCTGTTATAGTAGCCCTTGCGCTTGCGCTAGCCGCTTTTGTTGCTTTCGTCGCTTTCGCTGCTTTCGTCGCTTTCGCAGCTCTCGTCGTTTTCGTCGCACTTATTATCGTCGCTTCTTTTGCGTTAATTGTTGCGCTTGCCGCTCTTACGGCAGCGCCCGCCGTTGCTATGACTTTTGCGGAGCGCCGAGCTAAAGTAAAGAGATTGCTAAAAGCTTTAGTTGATCTGTTATTATGAAAGGCGAAAAGTAAAAGCGTGTAAGATAAGATAGAATGACGGTTAAGATTGCTAAATAGATGTTTTCTTTTAAATTACGTGCAAATAAAATAAAATAAAATATAATAAGTGAATAGCATATGCGTGTTATTAAAGCTTCTCGACTAACGCGCGAGCGTTTTATAAATTTAAAAGCTTAATAAAGCTTTCAAACTTTTGTCGAGTTAAGTTCTTAATAAGACTATTAGCGTGCATCTTTTTAGTAAAGAGATATTGAACTTAAAAGCTCCTTTTGAAGTGCTTTTAGCGCAGCTATATATTATGAATATCGACGTAACGAAGCTTGGTAAAGATACGCTCCTTTTTACTAGCTATAAGCTTGATTGTTTATTGATTATTATAATAGACTATTTAAAGCGCCGCAAATCGAAGGTACAGCTCTTTGAAAAATCGTTAAAGCGCTATAATCTCTTTTATTATGAGGGCTATGCTAAGAAGCTCTGCTTTAATAGATGATATAGTGATTGTATCTTGTTTTAAAGCTTTCTAAAAGATCGCACCTTCGAATAAAAACACAATGTACTTTTGAAAAGATCGCTTTGTCTTTTCGTTATCGGCGTAAAAAGCGTTAAAAGCTATTACTAGCTTTAATTTGCTAAACTAGTTATATTAAATACCTTTGAAGCGCGAGCTAAATAGATATCGCAAACATTAGTTTACAGCTCGAAGGTGCTCCGCGCTTAGATTGGTGCTAAAGTAAGAGAGTTAAGAAGCTGCAAAAGCTATATCTAAGCGTAGCATGATCGCTATATATAACACGGATCTAACCTTCTTTTAATACTCTTTCATTTGCTTTCGCGAAGCTATCTTTTTATTTTTAATTAAGTCATAGAACGATAATAGAGTTATTAAGTAGCGTCCGTTCGTAAGTTCGAATTTCTTAGTTATTTTTTTAATATAAACGTCGTGCATAAGCGTTAGCGTTCTTCGCTAACGGTCTCGAGCGACTCTTATATTAAGAAACTATTTAATATCTCTTATCGCTTCGATCTTATACGCTTTATTAAGACCGTTAATAATCTTTTGCGCTTTAAAAAGATTAAAGTAATAATATATAACTTAAATATCGTTTACGTAAAACGCTATAAAAACCGTTTTATTTAGATTCGTAAAAATATACGGTTTTTTACCGAGTAGTATAAGCTTCAATTTGTCGAGTGTGCTTATAAAGTCGAAATACTATAAAGCTAGCGAGTCTTTGAGTTTATATAAAGCTCTATCGACTTTTACGAGCATATCTTTTTGCTTAAAACCGTTAAAGAGATAACACGTAATTAAAACGCTATCCGTATATCTTATAGCGTTAATAAAAGCGTTAACGATATCGAACTGTTTTACTTTTAAGTCAAATTCGGCTGTTATAGCTATTATGATCTTAAAAGATCTAGCTGTTAGCGTAGCCGCGTAAGTTGAATAGATAGTAGATTCGTTTTAAAAGTCACTTTTAATAATAATCTTCGATCTGAACTTTACGATCTTTCCGGACGAGCTAGTCTTATATATAAACACTTATTTAAAAGGTATAAGTTTTAATTTAACTTCGCTTTCGAGAATCACTTTTTAATAATTCCTTTTTTTTAGATTATTTAGCTTTATAAGAGCTCCGTCCTTGAACTCTTTGCCGTATAAGTATCGTTATAGCTCTTTTTAATAAGTAAAAGGTTTTAAATGCTTTCGTTTTAGCGAGTTGAGCTGTTTTAATAATAACTTAAACGAAGTAGCAGCTGTTATAATAGCGTGCAATATCTCGTAATCTTTGCTATCTTCGCGCACGGGTTCGCTATTAGCTTAAAAAGTCGATATAAAATCTAAGACGCGCGAATAGCGGTTCGAATTAGCGCGAGAGTTGTTTAAGAAAAGCTTATTAACATTTGCGTATATCCTCGCGCGTTTTTTAATGCGGCTACTAATAAGTGAATGCTTTTTATTAAAGTCGGAATTTTGTTTAAAGTGTTTATAATCTAATTTCTTATTATTAATGCTCGTATTAAAAGAATCTAAAAGCTCTTTTTTGATTGTTCGGTTTAAATCTCCGCCGGTTATTAACGTAAAAGCTTCCGTTGATCGGCTTGTAGCTTAGCCTTCCGAGCTTCGGCTTTAAATAACAACTTAAAGATATGATTTGCGCGCTCTTTTATTAAGGCTAAGTTTTTGCTCGTTTACGGTGCTTTTCTTTGCTTTTAGTAATCTTGGAGCACCTTCGCTTTTGCTTTTAGCTAAAGAGCTAGCGAGACGTTTAACGGTATAATTCGAATCGTCAAAGTTTATTAGATCGTCTCGTAAAGCAATTGCTTTTAATATAGACGTATTTATAAAGTCTTTAATTAAAGTTGGAACTCTTAGCGTTTATATATCGCTCGGATTAAATAAGGTCGTATTCTTTAAACTTTAACTAAATCTTTTTAAGTCAACCTTTATAAGGTTTGACGGCTGCTCACCTTTTATATTAATTGCATTCGTTTTTTTTAAGCGATCCTTTGTAACGTTCTTTATATTAGACAAAGCGTCCTTTGTTTAACTAAAGTCTTTAATATCTTTTAGTTTAATGACGATGCTTTTAATCTCGTTAATCGGTTAGTCGACCGATTTTTTCTCGTTTATAAAATAAAATTAAGTTTTATCGAACGTTACGTTGCGTATAACAATCACTTTATAAAGCACAAGAATATAAACCTTATATATATTAAAAGCTATATATTTAACTAAGTAGCTTATATGTCCTTTTAGTTTGACTTTAAAAGCTCTTTTATTGCGAAGAGCTTTTCGATTCTTAATCATTAAGTACGCACGAGCGCTATACGCAATTAAACCGCTATAATTTAATCTTAAGTCGGTATCGATCCGTGTAAAGATCGCCGGATCGTACTATTTAAAATATTGCTTGAACCAAAACTATAGCACTTCATTCGGACTTTTTATAAAGCTTTTCGCTTTCGATATTATATTATAAAAGTAGATAGCGGCTAATGTAATCTTAAGCTAGAGCTTCTTTAAGAGCCTTGCTCCTACTTTTATTTTGATAGACCGTTCTATCACTTCTTTCTTAGCCCTTTTAGCTCCTTTATTAAGTTCGTAATTAAAAGATAGTAAGAGCTTTAATTCGATCTTAATCTTTTTCGTTTATTTTTGATATTCGATAGAGCCGATAACGTTGATTGCGATTACCGAAGAATCGTTATTATAGCGCATAACAACTATTAAAAGACCGTATTTGCGTCTCGTTTATGCTTCGAATTCTTTTAGCACTTTTATAACCGTTAATTGCAACTTGTCTTTTAATATAAAGCCGAATAGCTTTTTATTATATTTATCTTTAATTATTAACAATTATTTGCTTTCGTTAAAACCGTTAAGAAAGTCGAATAGATCTTAAGCGATCTTATAAAATAGCTTAGCTGCTTTGTTATTTAACGTGCGGCGAGATATGACTTATTAAGCGTGCGTAATAGCATATGCTTTATATTCAACTTTAATGATTCTTTTAAGTCTTACTCTTTTAGTATTATAAGCTAGCGCTTCGAGCGCTTTTTTGCTTAAATAATTTGTTCGTAAATGCTAAAGTACCGATGAATCTTTTTTTAAAGCTCGGAAGACATTGCTCTTTTAGAATTTGTAGCGTATTTGCAAGCGCTTTTAAATTATAAAGAATATTATTAAGCAAAAAGAGCTACGAATCAATTAAAGCAAAGAATAGTTAAATAGCTTATATTTAAAAAACGTAAAGTTGAACTTCCTTTTTAACTTTTTTAATACGACGCTTTTTTTAACTTTTTCATAGCGGAGAGTTGCGTTATATCTCGAGTACTATACGCTAGCCTTACTTAAAAGAGCTTCCGAGATGATATTAATATTAAACTCTTTAACGATAACGACGTTTTCCAACTTTAAATCCTCCGTCTTAGCTTTATTTGGTCCGTTCAAAGCTCTTTTAAAGACTTTAATACTTCGCTCGACGACTAAAAGACTACTCGTTTTAGCTTCGATAAAGTCGGTTAAGCGAGAGCGTTGAATTGACTTTGGCTTTAAGAGATTCTTATCGTTAATAAAGTGAATAGCGCCGCAATTGTCGAGAAGAATGCTATTAAATAGCTAGTGCTTATTATCAGCCGTGTTATAAAGACCGTTAAAAGCAAGATTATCGAGCGTGTTAAAGAGCTCAGGATCGATGATAGCTATTAACACTTTTCTAAAGTATTTTAACTTATCGTTATCGTTCGATTGCTTTTCTTTGCTTTTTAAAACGATCTTATCGACTTAAATCTATGCTTAACCCTTTTTAATAATCTCTTTTCGAAGCGCTTTAAACTTAAGCTCTTAAAGCCTTTTCTTTATAACGACGATATTATTTCGGTTCGGCTTTGCGAATTTACTTTCGTTAAGATCGTTAAAGCAATAGCGAAAGATCTTACACTTAATTGCGTCTTAATAATAGTTTCTCTTTTTAAAGTACGGGCATTTAAAACTTTTAGCAAGTCTTTTAAAGCTATCGGAGCGTTTACCGGACTGCTTAAAAGCAATGTCGTTAGCTTTATTACTTTCGGAAGTGCTGCGAATCGTTTGATCTCCGAAAGTAACGAATACATTAAAGAAGTTAGAGTTTAAATTGCTAGTTTTATCTTCGACTTGGCTTTCGTATTAGTTAAAGTAATTGTAAAGGGTGCGCTTTTAAAGCAATAACAGCTCGTCGTTTCGAATGACCTTTACGAGCTTTAGCGACGCTTATATTAATGACTATTTTTCGCTAATAGCTTTTAAGAATGCTTTTGTCGCGAGTATATTCGTCGTCTTGTAAAAGTTGTTTATCTTCGCTAACTTGTAAATAGCTCGATGCTCTTTGATTTATACCGTTAAAAAAACGCTCTTTTGCTTAGCTGCTTGCAAAGATTTATTATAATCTCGTGTTATCGATAGCTTAAAGCTCGAGTCGGATAAACGGTATATTTCTTAAAGCTTTTTTATTA